CACCCCGCACCGGCTGCCGTCGGCGGGGACCCCAGGACCGCGGGAGTCATCCCGTCCCACAACGTCCAGATCTGATCTCTCTCCCGGATCCCCGAACCAGGCCCACGGAAGGAAAAACAATAACAAACATCAGCTAGGTGTGGCGGTTCATCCGGGTCATCCCAGCGCCCAGCGGGCAAACGAGGGGAGATGGCGAGTTCGAAGCCAGCCTAAGCTTCCTGGCACTGACAGCCAAAGGGGGCTCTGACTGAACTCTCCGGTCGTGTGCAACTTCCTAACCATCCGGCCAATCCAAGAAGTTGCAGTGGCTTATTTTCTTTTTCTTTTTTGCCACTCCTGGGGCTTGAACTCAGGTCTGGGCGCTGTCCCTGAGCTGCTTCTGCACAAGGTGAGCGCTCTACCACTTGAGCCACAGCGCCACTTCTGGCTTTTTCTGTGTATGTGGTGCTGAGGAATGGAACCCAGGGCCTCATGCATGTGAGGCAAGCGCTCTACCACTGAGCCACCTTCCCAGCCTGATGCAGTGGCTTTTATGCAGCTTTTCTAAGATAGGCAAGATTCAGAGAGGTGAAGCGTGGAGCCTCAAGATAGATGCACAGGTGTAGCTGCTGCCCCAACTCCTGGCTGAACCTCCGTGTTTGCTGAGCCGCTGGTTGGAATGCGCTGGCACATAATTGTCTATGCATATACTCCAGCCAGTGTGGAGCTCATGGGCCCTGGATGGTAAAGGCCCAGTCTTCAGTTGGTGTAACTGGGAGGTGCTGGGAACATGGAGGAGGCTTAGCCTAATGGGCAGAAGTTGGTCATTGGTCGTGTTTTAGGCTCAGTCCCAGGACCAAGGGACCAATGGTACAGAGACAAACCTACCACACCGTAAACCCAGACAAACCTTTCTTCATTTTAAGTTTCTTTGTCTAAAGTGTTTTGTGACAGTCATGGAAAACTGACTTTAAAAAAAAAAAAGGATCTGGGCGCTGGTAGCTCACAACTGTCAACCTAGCTACTCAGAAGGCTGAGATCTGAGGCTCACAGTTTAAAGCCAGTCTAGGCAGGGAAGTCCGTGAGACTCTGATCTTCATCCAATAAACCACTTAGAAAAAGCCGGAAGTGGTGCTGTGGTCCAAGTGGTCAAGTGCCAGCCTTGAGCACAGAGAAGATCGGGGACAGCGCCCAGGCCCTGAGCTAAAGCCCCAAGACTAGCCAAAAAAAAAAAATCAGATCAACTCCTGTTCATCCTTGAAGGCCCAACGTCAGCATTTTCTCGTGTGTGCTGAGCCACTGTCCCCAGATCCTCCTGATGGAGTGGGGTGGGAATGTCTGATTCTGAGGGGCTGAGCCCCAGGGCGGGGGTGGGGGTGGGGGTGGGGAGGTGGGGTGATCTTACCTAGGAAGGCCTGGGTGAACTCTTGGGAAGCATAGCTGGCCGCCTGGGCCAGCTGCTCTCGGCTCCTGTTGTGTAGCTGGGGGTGTCGGGGCTCCAGGCTTTGCAGCAGAATGAGGGCCCCCCACACCTGCTGGGCCAGGTTGGGGGCTGAAATCAGAGCCGCGCCTCTCTGCCGCCGGAAGTTGCTGCGGAAGCCCGGGTCTCCGTCCACGCCAGCCCCGTAGTACTGTCCCAACAGGAGGCTGAGCCGGGGCCGGGGCGGCGGGAGGCGGCTCAGGTGCTCCCCGAGGAGCACCCCGTCCAGAGCCCCGTTGAGGAAGGCCATGGTGAGGGGGGTCGTGGGGGGGTCGAGCAGCGTGAAGTTCTGGGGGGAGGAGAGCCGGTCCCAGCAGCCCTCAGAGCCCAGGCCGGGCGGGCTGGGGATGGGGCGAGGGTGGAGGAAAGCCAGGCCCAGCTCCGTGGCCAGGGCGGCGGCCAGGAGGCTGTCCACGGCGGCGGGGGGCTCGGCCTGCTCCCCCACCCAGGTGACATTGGCAGAGTCGTTCCTGGATCCCGCCAGGGTGTCTCCTCCGGTGTCCCCCGGGGGCCTGAGGCCGTCCCCCAAAGGCACAGCCCTGCGCCCCTGCTGCCCGGCCTCCAGCCCCAAGAGCAGAGGCCTCAGGGCCACGGTGGAGCCGTCGGGGGCCAGCAGCACCCCGCGCTCCTGCCGGCCCCGAACCTCGTGCTGGGCCACTCGGTCCACCAGGGCGCGCAGCTCGGCCCCCAGAGGGTCCGGGTCCAGCGGGGAAGCCCCGGGGCTCACAGAGTCCCGCAGGAACCGGGGGAGGCCGCCAGGGGGCCCCGCGGACAGCAGCACCCGGACAGAGGCAGCTGGGCCCCCTTCCAGCTCCTTCTGCTCCAGCTCGGCCACGGCCTGGATGATGGAGTCCATGAGCAAAGGCAGAGAATCTATGGGGAGAGACAGCTCGTCCACCCGGCGGTCCGGCCACAGCGCCGGGACAGTAGGGGGGCGCAATGTGGCCTGGCATCGGGTGAAAGTTGGCGGGGGGAGTAGGCTGCGTGGGGGCTCACGGCGGGGAGGGCTGGGTTAGGAGTGAGGTGTTGGTCATTGCCAAGGTTTACTGAACATTTACTGTGTCTCAGGCACCACCCTCACAGACCGGCCTAACTGAATCCTCAGGACAACACTCAGCAATAGGTTTTCTGAGCCCCCTGAATAGAACAAGTTCCCAGAAGCCCAGAGAAGTGAAGATACCAGCTTAAGGCTACACAGCTAGGCAGTAGCAGAAGCAGGATTCGAACCCATAGATTTGCTTGTTTTGGTCAGTCGTGGGGCTTGAACTCTGGGCCTGGGCGCTGTCCCTCAGCTCTTCAGCTCAAGGTGAGCGCTCTACCACTTGAGCCACAGCACCACCTCTGGTTTTCTGGTGGTTTGTTGCAGATAATCTCATGGCCTTTCCTGCCCTGGCTGGCTTTGAACCATGATCTCAGCCTCCTGAGTAGCTGGGATGACAGGCGTGAGCCACCAGTGCCCAGCCAGGAAGTTTTAATAGACAAATCCTGCGTTGAGAATCCTGACCCTTCTTCAGAAAGTTCATTTTATTCTTGTTTTCTAACTTTCTTCTTTTCTCCTTAAAACTCTCTAAGAAAGCCAGGCGCTGGTGGCTCACGTCTGTCATACTCACTACTCAAGAGGCTGAGATCTGAGGATCAGGTTCGAAGCCAGTTCAGGCAGGAAAGTCCATGAGACTCTTATCTCCAGTTAACTAGAAAAAAAAAAGCCAGAAGCAGAGTCGTCGCCCAAGTGGTAGAGCGCCAGCCTTGAGTGGAAAAGGCCAAGCCAGAGCATGAGGCTCTGCATTTGAGACCCGGTGTTGGCTTAAACAAAAGAAAATACCACCTCTTCTTCTGCCTCTTTTCCTCACTGCCACTTGCTAAGTCCTCAGACCAGAGCTTTCTGGACAGCTGGGGCTCCTGCTGCCTCTGGTCTCGGCCCACATGGAGGCCCAACACTTCTGCTGACCCCAGAATGCACCGCCCCGCCTCCGCCCCTGCCTCCAACCTACCTGCGCTTCCACCTGGCCACAGCAGTAGAACGAGCAGGAAGCAGAGGTGGCCCCCAGCCATGCTGAGCTCCAGCCGGCCTCGGTGGACAGCGCTGGGCGTGCTGGAAAGAGGCAGCCGGGAGGCACCCTGCCCGGCCTGCTGCCCTGTCAAAGTCCAGTGGTGAATGGCACAGTTGTTCCCCCCACCACCCCCACCCCGCTCCCCGGGAGCTCCGTGGCCTAGGCCAAAGGTCAACTGGGCCTCAAGGTCTCCCCTTCTCCTCTCCCATCCTCCCTGCCTGTCAGGATGTCCGGAGGCCAGGCCGGGCACGGTGGCTCACGCCTGTAATCCCAGCTACTCAGGAGGCTGAGGTCTGAGGACCGCAGTTCAAAGCCAGCCCGGGCAGGAAAGTCCGTGAGACTCTTATCTCCAATCAATCCCCAGAAACTGGGAAGTGGCGCTGTGGCTCAAGTGCTAGAGTGCTCGCCTTGAGCTGAAGAGCTGAGGGACAGTGCCCAGGCCCAGAGTTCAAGCCCCACGACGGACAAAATGGAGCCATTGCTTAAGTGGTAGAGCTCCAGCCTTGAGGACAAAAAGAAATTGCTCAGGGACAGCACTAGGCTCTGACTTCAAGTTTTAGGACCAGCTAAATACATAAGAGGAAAAAGAGAAAAACAAAACGAGGAGCTAGGAGGCCAGGTAGAGACGCCTACAGTTAGTTTCTCTCTGTCTCTCTCTCTCCCTCCCTCTCTTTCCTTTCTTTTCTTTTGGTCCGGTCGTGGGGCCTTGAACTCTGGGCCTGGGCACTGTCTTCAGCTCAAGGCTAGCGCTCTACCACCTGAGCCACAGCGCCACTTCCGGCTTTTTTCTTTTTGCTTATGTGGTGCTGAGGAATCGAACCCAGGGCCTCAGGCATGCAAGGCAAGCGCTCTACCACTGAGCCGCCTTCCCAGCCCTCTTTCCTTTCTTTTTTTGTGCCAGTCCTGTGGCTTGAACTCAGGTCCTGGGGGCTGTCCCTGAGCTTTTTCACTCAAGGCTGGCGCTGTACCATTTGAGCCACAGCTCCACTTCCAGCTTTTTTTTTTTTTTTTTAGTAGTTACTTGGAGATGATTCTCACCAACTTTCCTGCCCGGGCTGGTTTCCAACCATGATCATCAGATTCCAGCCTCCTGAGTAGCTGGGATTACAGGTGTGAGCTACAGTGCTCGGCTCAACCCCATATTTCTTTTTCTTTTAATTTAATTTAATTTATTTATTTATTTTTATTTTTTTCAACCCCATATTTCTTATAGGCTCCACCTCCTCCTAGAAGTGCCATGGGCTGGGTTTGGGGGACATTTGGATTCAAACGATAGCAAGTGAGGCCGGCCAGGCCCTTACGTCCTGTGCTGCCAGAGCTCAGGCTCAGGAAAGGACTGGGGATTATTGGGTCTGCTCAGCCTCAGTCCATAAAGCCCAGAAAGATGCGGCCACTCCATCTCTTACTCTGTTCCCGCTCCTGGATGGGGTTGAGAGCGTATGTTGGACCTGAGCCTTCGGGATCCTGGTTTTATCCCAGGAGCCAGCGTCTAGACTCACCTTGCTTGATTGTGAATGATCCCGTCCTCTGGGTGCTTGTGGCTGAGTTCTTCTCTGGGTGCTTGTGGCTGAGTTCTTCTCTGGGTGCTTGTGGCTGAGTCCCTTCTGAGTGGAATGCCTACTCCTTCGTTTTCTCTGGGTACTTGGTGGCTGAGTCCTCCTGGGTGGGATTCTTGCTCTTCTCAGGGTGCTTGTGGCTGAGTTCTACCAAGTGGGCCTCCCTCCTCCCCTTTCTCTCCCCCCCCACTTCTCTCCCTCTCTGTCTCCCCCCTCCCCTCTTTCTCTCTGGAAGCAGGGTCTTATGAGGATGTAGCCCCGGCTGGCCTGGAACCCTTGCTCCTCCTGCCTTCCCCTCCTGAGTTGCTGCGATTACAGGGATGTGCCACAAACCTCGGGCCAGGCAGGCTCCGCGTAGGTGAGCTGCTCCCCTCGTGGGCCTCCTGCCCCAAACCAGAGTTTCCAGAGCTATTCCAGGCCTGGGAAAGCCCGGACTGACGCAGGCCGGGGCCTCCCCCAGGGCTCCACCCACGGGGGACGCACCCATGGGGCGTAGCTGCCAGGGCCGACTTCCTGGGGGCCCAGCCACCCCCTTACACAGAGCCAGGCCACAGTGGGGCCTCAGGAAGAAAGTCATGGAATGGGGAGTGAGAGGCAATTTCCTGGGGTCTGGGAATTGGGGGGTGGGGGGAGGCCTCCACCTTCTACCTCCATGGGCAGAGAGTGGGCACCAGACTGAGGTCTGGAGGATCTCAGTTCAAAGCCAGCCCAGGCAGGAAAGTCCACAAGATTCTTATCTCCAATGAATCAGCAAAAAGCCAGACGTGGAGCTGTGGTTCAAGTGGTAGAGCACCAGCCTAGAGATGAAAAAGCCAAGTGAGCCCAAGGAAGAAAGGAAGGAAGAAATGAAAAGGAAAAGCAAGCGAGCCGGGCACGGGAGGCTCAGGCCTAGAATCCCAGCGACTCAGGAGGCTGAGGTTTGAGGATGGAGCTTCCACAGCAGCCCGGGCAGGTGCACCTTGTATGATGAGCAGGAAGTTGGGCCTGGGGTGGTCTGCCTTTGGGGGGGAGTCTACCCACCCCACTGGCCCCACCAGACCCACAGGTACAGTCCATTCAAAGATTAGAGGTTTGCCTGCCAACGCCAGACCAGAGTCTGTCAGGAATTACCTCCCTACCCTGGGCACCTTCCAAATCCAGGACTTCCCTTGCGTCGCAGCCCCCCCTGCCCCGCCCCCCTCCTGCCCCCCTCCTGCCCCCGGGAGCCGGCAGGGCCTTAAAGCTGGGCCTTGACGCAGCCATGCGTGCCACTGTGTCTGGAGCCAGCCCCGGCTGCCGTGGGTCGGACCCACTGGCTGCAGGGAAACACTAAAAGCCAGCGATGAGGACTCTCACCCGCCCAGGCCGCCTTCACTGTCTGTCTTTGTGGAAGACCAAAGGTGAGATTTAATCAGCTGCCGGTATTGCGCACGGACCCTCCACACAGCCTTGGCAGGGAGGGGTGCGTGAGGGGAGGGAAAATGGGGGGGCTGTGTGCCATGAATCCGCCCCCTCTTTCTTGTTTTTTTGGTTTTATGGCTTGTTACCCAAGATGCTGTACCGCTTGAGCCATGCCTCCAGCCTGGCTTTTTTGTTGGTGGTAAGGCTTGAACTCAGGGCCTGGACGCTGTCCCTGAGCTTTTTTTTGCTCAAGGTCAGCGCTCTACCCCTTGGCCACAGTGCCATTTCCAGATTTTTTTTTTGGTCGATCATGGGGCTTGAACTCTGGGCCTGGGCGCTGTCCCTCAGCTCTTCAGCTCAAGGCGAGCGCTCTACCACTTGAGCTACAGCGCCACTTCTGGTTTTCTGGTGGTTTATTGGAGATAGGAGTCTCATGGACTTTCCTGCCTTGGCTGGCTTTGAACCGGATCCTCAGATCTCAGCCTCCTGAGGAGCTAGGATGACAGGCACGAGCCTGGCTCTTTCAGGCTTTTGATATTTTGTTGTTATGGAAGCCTTGCATATATATATATATATATAATTTATTTATTTATTTAACTGCGGTGACAGGCGTGAACCACCAGCTCCCGGCTGTCCCTATTTATTAAGGGATATGTATTCATAAGACATGAAAGCAATCATTCAATTCAGTGACATTTGGAACACTTGCAGCATTGTGCAATCCTGACCTCATGTTTCTAAAACATTTTCATCACCCCCAATGGAAACCCTGCACCCAATAAAGCAATCGCACCCCTCCCCCCACCGGCCCTGGCAGCAGCTCATCTGTCCCCCGCAGCAGCGCAGCAGCTTTCTGCACGCAGCCCGGGGCTCTCAAGGTTCAGTCGTGGTTACCCACATTGCAGCCACACCCCGTTCACTTTTTGTGGCTGTGTAATATTCTATTGTGTGGATAGATGGCATTTTGTGTATCTGTGTGACATTGGATGGCCAGTTGGGTTATTGCTCATTGTAAAAGTGCTGCTGTGAATGTTTGGGCATCTGTACTTGTTTGGCTTCTTGCTTTGTTGTTGTTCTTCTTTTTTTTTTTATGGCTTCTTAGGAATATATTTCTTTTTTTTTAAATTTTATTTTATTTTATTTGTGAACAAACTGTACAGAGGGGTTACAATTGCATGGGCAGGATAATGCGTACATTTCTTACCAAGCATTGCAGCCTCCTCCTTTGTTTACCCTTCCCATCCCTTCCCAGCCTCCCCCTCCCCCCCATCCCAATCCTTCTCCTTCCCCCCTCCCCCCCACCCCCTTGTTGTTCTTCTTCTTATTATTATTAATAATTTTTTTGTATTATAATTTTTCCAGTCCTGAGGCTTGAACCTGCGTCTGGGCACTGTTCCTGAACTCCTTTGGCTCAAGGCCAGTGCTCTACCACTTGAGCCACAACTCCACTTCTGGTCTTTTGTGTGATGAATTGGAGATAGGAGTCTCATGGATTTTTCCTGCCCAGGCTGGCTTTGAACCGCGATCCTCAGATCTCTGCCTCTTCAATAGCCGGGATTATAGGCATGAGCCACCAGCACCTGCCCCTGCCCAGTTATTTTTGGCACACTTCATATCTCTGATGCTTCCCAAAGCCAGTGAGGAGAGGACTCGAGGTGGATACTCTCCCCGTTTGACAGACGAGGACACTAAGGTGGGAGAGGCAGCCCCGTGCCAGCCTGAGTCCAGTCACCATCAGAATGGCTCCCAACCTCTGAGTGAGCACTAGGTAGCAGCCTCTTACGGGGAGGGCACAAGGGATGGTCTTCCAGGCAGCTTTGTGGCCCCTGGACCCGACAGACCTGAGTGTGAGTCCCAGGTTGGATCCACTGCATAATTGCATAATCTAATACATATGTCATCGCCAGTGACAGCAGGGAAGGCAGGAGACGGAGCCCTAATTATGTGTTTGATGTATAGATGTATCCAGGGGCCCAGGGGGCGAAACAAACAGTTGCTAAACTGGTCTGCCTTGCAGTTATTCTTTTTTCTTTTCCTCTTTTGCCAGTCCTGGGGCTTGAGCTCAGGGCCTGGGCACTGTCCCTGAGCTTCTTTTGCTAGCAGCCTACGACTTGAGCCACAGTGCCA